GAGAAGAGTATTGAATGTTCCATGGACTGCCAAGAAAACAAACAGATTTTTCCTGGAGAGGGTTAAACCAGGATACTCCTTGGAGGCAAGGATTTTAGGGCTTCGTCTGGCATACTTTGTACATGTTGTAACGAGAGACAGGTCCTTGAAGAGGGACATCATGCTTGGTAGGGTGGAGGGACAGCACAGGAGGGAAGATCCTCTATGAGGTGGATTGATTCAGTGACTGGGGTACTCAGGATGGGTATGTCAGAGGCAATGCAATTGGCACAGGATAGAGCAGGGTTTAGGGCTGTTGTACATAGGGTCTCTATGAGTTGAAAACAACTTGATGGCACATAACAACACCTTAGACTTCTTTTCCCATAGTCGAGTCCTTTGTAGGAATAAATATCAGATTGTCCCAGTATGTACATTGAACTTGCTATTGATGAAGGTGAGGTTAAACTCAGTTACGTAGATAATTTGGAGGGTAAGGATATTCGACAGAAGATAGCTTAACAGACTCTGAGCTTTTTATTTTAAGGTGATCTGTTCAAGAGCTTCCACTAAAACCAACAAATAGAGATAAGAATGAATACATAAAATTATCAAACTGTGATTGACACACAAAAAAGACACCAGACCAAGATCCTGCTGTGTCAGTGAAAGGGGACAGTTTGTGGGGAGTTGTGCTGCTAACCCAATCTGTCAGCAGTTTCGGAGAAGTAGTCCTCTCATGCAATTGGTAACCTCAGAAACCCTGTCACTTCTATGTTTTAGCTTTCCAAAATATGTGTGTGTGAGGGAGTGAAAGAGAAATAACATTGTTTGAGGTTTTTTAACTCAGAAGAAAAAAAAACAACCAATGAAATATACATAGAAATGTTCCAAATTAAATATTTAGTCCCTTGTGTATGTGAAATGATCTTACTAAAGGCTGATTGGGTTCAAAAAGTGTTAAAAATTACTAAACTCCAAACTCACAGCTGTCAAGTTCAGACCGACTCCCTGGGTTTAGGAGGCCGTAAATCTCACGGCAGATTGTTCCAGGAAGTGTTGTCAATCACTAAGTGGACGTGGCTCCCCAGTGTTCCTCGTGGAGGCTCACCCAGGGTGCACTGAGTGAAGAATACATGGTCAGACTTAGTCACACTCTCGTTACCATCTAGTCAGAGCCGACTCTCAACTGACCCTCCAATTTCTGTGGCTTTCAGTCACACAGATGGAGATGGCCCATCATCACCTTTGGAAACATAGATGATTGTGATCCACCTGGGAGGCTCTGTCGTTGGGTTAACAGCCCTGCACCCTATGGACCGTGCTACCAAACCACCCATATGTCAGAAGAGCCCCAGTTGATATATGTTATAACATTGAATCTAGAACTGCCACTTCAGCAGCACTCCGTAACGAGTGTCTTAGCACAGGTGAAAAGTCTTGCCTGGCCAGGCATATGGCCCCTGCATCACTGGTCTGGTTGATGTTTATTTAATGCACCACGAGTGGCTCTCTTAACTCATTCTTTGTTACACATAACAACTTTTTTAAAAGATAAAATGATAATATATTTGCATCCTACATTCTAAACCAAAAGATTAAGTTTCAAGTGACACTTATTGCCATGTATTTTTATACTGTAGTGTCTAATTGCTGGGACAAAAGAACTTGTAAAGTTTAACAGAGATTCAACTTTACAGTCATTTATATTTTTATTGCTTAGCAGATATATATTAGGAAACTGTCATTTACTATTCTCTTATTTCAAGTTTCACGATGAAGTTGATTAAAGATGATGGAGAAGCTGATGTCCTGAACATTTTTTCAGTTGCTTCTGGCCATTTGTATGAACGCTTTTTAAGGTACGTTTACTTCTTATTTAATGTTTTGGAAAAATAACATATTCATGTGATCACCACTCCTAAAGAATAGAGGTAGATATATTAAAAAAAAAAAATCTTAACATTGCTTTCTTGATAGCCTGAAAAGTAGTGTTCTTTAACTCCTGTCACAAATGTGTCATGCATATACTAAAATACCTTTTCATGAAAATAGTTACAAAGCCTTATTGATGCATCTTACTCTGTTTTGTAACTTAAAAGTTGCAAGATAAGAATATCTCTTTTCAGTCACTGAAATTTCATTTGGAATATTGATTTTTATTAGGGCTGAAAGTACACCTACGGGTATCCCTTGCTTTTCAGAATAACTTTTTTATGAAGGCCCTACGTTAATTCGTTACCTGTGTTCACGGAAAGAGAGAAATGACAAAGGGGATATTTCTTTCTTTGTGTGTTTATATATACATGCGTGTGTGTGTGTGTGCACGTGCACCCATGCGTAAAGGGTGGTGAAAGCATAAAGCACTTGCTTTGCAGCAAGCAGTTAACAAGACATTGCACACCCCAAACAGGCAGAATGTTGGCCTCCTTCTCATGGAATTACACTCAGACCTCAGCATCAAGCCCCTGGGGCTTTGACCTGTGTCTTTGATCACTGTATGTTAGTGTTGTTTTAGGTTTTATGTGTGATTTTATTTGGTAGGTTCTTTTTTTTAATCTGAGAATGTGCAAAAAAATCTCCCCTATCAACTAATAGAAATTGTCTTTTTTAATGTCATTTTGACTTCTGAAAGGTTTCATAGATATATTCTCCTTGTGCAAGGAAAAGGCTCTATAAAATATGTGAGAAAAGAGAAGGTTTCTGAAGGCCTTGCTTTATCAATGCCATTGATATATTTTCGTAGTAAATTTTCTGATGAAGTACCTTATTTCATAAAATACAAGGGTAAAATGTTAGCATAGTTGCTAAGTGAAAGGTATCTTTTTTATAGTTTTTAGAAAAGAAAAAAAAAGAGTATGTTTCAAAAACATTTCATTTAATCCAAAGTCATTTTGGTCTAGTAATTTTCATTTCTTGGTGACCTGTCACTAGGTTTGGATGCGAACCACTGATCTTTAAGTTATCAACTCATCGCATAACACAATGTCTGACCTGAGTGGGCAATAAAATTTTCATAAGCACAGCAAAAAAATTAATAAATAAAATTTCAGTTACAATGTTGATATTTTAAAGCAGGTGTGTTTCCATTTTTATATATTTACATATATCATGAATTATTTGGGATTGGAAAACAAGTTATGCAGTGAATTCTTGCAAATGGCCAGATAATTCAGATTTTCCAGTTTGCATGCCTGATAATAAAATAATATAATATTAGAGCCAAGATGAGTCTCTAGATCAGCTGAACAAAGCTGTTTCAAACTAGCTTCTTTGTCACATGAAGAAAAAAACACCATTTCTTTTTTATCATATGTATATACATAGTTTTTGCACTCATATATTATACTTGATGATCAACCATAAGATATCAAGATGCCTTAGTCTATGACTACATAATTTATAGTGAAAAACTTCTATTACACTTAAATATTTATGAAAAGTAAGATGAATTTCTGTTAATGTTACATTGGACAGTGAACGTTGTCCAATATTCTTTCAAACAGAATTATGATGCTTTCTGTTCTACGTCACACCAAAACACCAGTGAAATTCTGGTTTCTGAAAAATTATCTGTCTCCCACATTTAAAGTAAGTACAATAATGCTTTTATTATTAATTAACAATTACTATTATAAAATAGTTAATGTTTAAATTCACCACTTAAAAATGTTGGCTTGGTGGGAACGTGAAAAGATAAGGTAAATTATGGTCATAGTCCAATTATGATTAATTTTATAAAACACGATGTATAGAATGCTTGTATAAAACATATTGTCAGTGAAGTAAAACGTAGGGAAAACTATATTTAAAAAAAATAAACTTGGAAAAATTAAAACCAAAAGGATGCCTTGTCTTACTGTGGTGGGTTACATGTTGCTGGGATGCGGGCGGCTAGGATACCAGTACTTCCAACACTGTAAGGGGATCCAGACCAAAACAGATAGGAACAGCGTTTGGTGATCTGGTTCTAAAGGACGCCGGGCAGTGAAGCCTTGGGAATAGCAGCGGAACACTGTCTAATAAAATGCCAGCAGATGAGACCCAAAAATAATAGCCAGAAAAGAGCAACCGCCTCAGAGTCCACCTCAGAGACGTGGACGAAGTAAAGCTTTCAGGACTTATTAGCTGCTGTGACACAAGTCAGAACCAGAAGAAATAGCTGAAAGCATCAGTGAGTAACAAGAACATTGGGATATACAAAGTATGAGTCTAGAACAACTAAAAGCCATCAAAACTCAAATGAAACCAATATTTTCTGACAGTAGTTACCACTTTGAATCAGTCAGTTGTATGGTCTGGAGCTCTGGTGGCTTAGTTGTAAGAAGTTGCCCTGTAATCCCAGAGGCTCATGGTTCAAATCCACTAGCTACTCTGTAGGAAAAGATGGACAATCTTTACTGTCTCTGAAAACCCAGTTCTGACCCAACGGCCCACAGCAACAAAAAAGTAGGAATGACTGATTAGGGAGGAATGGTGGTAGATTTCAAGATCAATCCTAAAGTGGAATCCTGGCAGTAACAGGATAATATTCATACCGCTATAGGAAAGACCAGTTTATACAACTGTCATTCACATATATACACCACCCACGAAGGACAAAGATGAAGAAGTTGAAGGTGTTTTACGAACTTCTGCAGTCTGAACTTAATGCAATCAAGATGGTTTAGTAATTACTAGTGATTGGCATACAAAGGAGCCCTGGTAGTGTGGTCCGTAATGAAGGCTGCTGACTGAACAGTTGTCAGTTCAAACCCACTGGCCATTCTGTGGGAGAAGAATAGAGAAGCTCCTCTTGTAACCTCAGAAACCCAAAGAAGAGTTGGTAGTTGGAAATGCTGGTCTTAGATAGAACAGCAGAGATCACAGTGTAAGACCAGTGACTTACACATCGTGTATGTCATTTTCCAACAATGTAAACAGTAGCTCTACACAGGTAACTCAGCAAATGGGATGGATATACAGGAATCAGATCGACTCTATCAGAAGGGAAGTTCATATGTGGGTAAGTTCAATAACATTAGTCAGAACATTGCCCGAATCTGAGTGCAAACTGGACTGTCATAAGCAAGTTCAAGCTGAAGAGAATTGAAACAAGCCCACGAAAGCCAAGGTAGGGCCCGGAGTATGACACCTGAATTTAGAGGCCTTCTCAAGAGTACTTTTGACTCATTATACACCAATGATGGAAAAGCTGACAGGTTATGGGATGGCACTAAAGAGCTCTTTCTCTGTCTTTCCGGCTTTCCCAGCGTGGTATCTTTTTCCAAAGACTGACCTCTTCTAACAACATGTCCTAACTATACAAGACAAAGATGGTGATCTCTCTGGGGGTTTGCACCCTGGTTGCACTTCTTCCAAAAGAAACTTGTTTGTTCTTCTGGAAGGCCGTGGGGTATTCCATACTCTTCTACAGCACCCCAGTTCACAGGCCGCAGTTATTCTATCATCCTTATTCATTATCTCATTTTCAAAGCAATTGAAAATACCATAGCTTGGACCAAGTGCACCTTAGTCTTTAAATGACAGCCTTGCCGTTAGCACTTTGGAGAGGTCCTTACAGCAGACTTTCCCAGTGCAGCACATCTTTTAATTTCCTGACTACCGCTAACGGGATATTGATTGTGATTTCAAGTACATGTATATCATTGACAACTTGAGTCTTTTTTTACCCCATCTCTCATGATGCTGTATTTGGCCCAGTGGTGAGGAGTTTTGTTTGTTTTTTTAAATTTTATTATTTTTGTGTGTGTGTGTACTGTCAAATCAGATCTGACTGGTACAGGAGGAGAATGTCCCTCCTTCTCGAACAGAGCATCTAGTGGATTTGAACTGCATGCCCCTGGGCTTTCAGTGCAGCTTCTTGCCACTAGGCCATCAGAGCTCCCTGAGTTTTGTTTTCTTGATGTTGAGACGCAATCCATATTGAAGCCTATGATCCTTAGTCCTTGTCAGTAAGTGCTTCAAGTCTTCCTCATTTTCACCATGCAGAGTCATCTGATGAAGTAATAGATCTGAGCAGAAGAATTCAAAAGGCAGCTTAAGATGACAAAGCTGATATTAACATGAAATGTGTAAAGACATGAAGTTATAGACAATTAAAAGAGAAGAACATGCTCCCTATTTCTTAAGCTGAAAGAACTGAAGGAAAAAATCACACCTCAAGTTTCAGAAAGATGGGCAAAATATTAAATGACATAAGAAGAAGCAAAAGAAAATGCAAAGAATACGGTCGCAGTGTCAAGAGAAACTGTTTGACACCTTTTCGGAAAAAGGCATATGATGAGGCAGTGAAGGAAGAAATTTAAATGGCACTGAAGACAGGAAAAAAATAAGACCCTAGGAATTGACAGAATATCACTTGAGGTATTTCAGCAATTATATGCCACCCTGGATGTGTTCATTAGCCTGTGCTAACAAATTTGGAAGACAACTACCTGGTCAAGTATTCATTCCCATTCTAAAAAAAAAACCCAAAACCAAAAAACGTGATCCAACAGTGTGGACATTGTCAAACCGTATCATTAATATTAAATGCAAGTAAAATCTAGTTGAAGATTAGTTATAAATAGCTGGAACAGTACATTGACAGGTTCCAGAAGTTCCAGAATGCTGGATTCAGAAGAGGCTGTCAGATGGATTATGGCTGAAAGCAGAGAATACCAGGAAAATACTTATTTTTTGACTATTCAGAGACATCTGACTGTGTGGACATAACGTAAATTACTGGTAACATTGAGAAGAATGGGAACCCCACAACACTTAACTGTGATCGTGTTGTTGTTGTTGAACTGTGATTATAGGAAACCTATATATACATAGACCTAAAAGAGGTTGTTTAAATAGAACAAAGGAACACTGCGTAGTTTAAAATCAGGAGAGGTCCACATTGTATCCTTTCTATGTACCTGTTCCGTCTGTATGCTGACCAGATAATTTGAGCAGTCACACCATATGAAGTAGAGTGTGACATCAGGATTGGAGGAAGATTCAACAGTTTACACTTTACAGATGACACAACAATGAAAACAGGAAAGCATACGTAATACTTTATAAGCTTGCTAGCTAGTACAATATACTTGTTTTACATTAAGTTCCATAATTTGATATATAATTGTATTTTATATATGTCTGCATTTTTGTATTTCTAATTAATTGGTGCAAATTATATATAATGGGTTCAAAGTAGTATTTACTTTGACCTTTTTTTCCCCTTGAAATAAAGCTATTTTTCTTTACTGAGAATATTGTTTGGGTTTTGGTTCTGCTTTTAGGAAGTAATCCCTTACATGGCTGAGAAGTATGGATTCCAGTACGAGCTAATTCAGTATAGGTGGCCCCGCTGGCTTCATCAGCAGACTGAAAAGCAAAGGATAATTTGGGGTTACAAAATTCTGTTTCTTGACGTCCTTTTTCCTCTAGCTGTGAACAAAATTATTTTTGTGGATGCTGACCAGGTAATAACATTACTCATTGTTTGTCAGTAGTCATACTCAAACTTACTTTACACTCCTCTCTAAATAAAGTGACTTACCTTTGCTGCTGCACTACAAAAAATAATAAAGTTAATTTAGATATAAGCAGAATATCTTTAATATTAAAATTATCTGGAAAAGTCAGAGTATTGCAGGAAGTATCGTCAATTTAAGACATGGTCATTTTATTTGTTTCATTTCTAGAGTTTGAGAATTGATAATAAACTGTTCAATCATAATAAAAGTCGTTACATTGGCTCCCGTGAATATGGTATGTTGGTTGCTATTTGCTGAAAAGTGAGCTGCTTGGGTTCACTGGGAAATTTACTGGAAAATTCACGTAACTCTTCCCCCCATTCTTTGCCTGCAGTAGCACCTTCTGTCGTTGACCTAACTTCTGTCATTGACCTAACAACTAACTCCTCATCATTCTGCCTAAGGTCCTAAATTTGGAGGAAAGAAATTTAAGATTCTCAATCTTAATAATATATCCTTCCAAAAGACATAGTAATTTTTCTCATTCTTCTCTTGCATTGCCTTAGTAATTATTAAGAGAAAAATACTTTGAAAACATGGAATTCTTAAGGTCACTAATATGTAAATGGCAGCTCTGGTAGCCTCATGGTAAGACGTTGTGCAACCTTGCAATCACAAAGGCACGCAGTTCAAATCCACCAGCGGGCAGTGTCCTCCTGTGTGATTCACCACCTCTGAAAATCCGCTGGAGGGTCAGCTATGGGTCAGTTCTGACTCAAAACAACAAAAACAGCAGTGTATGAAGATAAAAATTCTTTGGATATGTACATGTATTGTTATTCTTATTTTAGGATGAATTATCTCCTCAAGTCATTTATTAGAATTGACTTATATTCTAAGTTTTTATTATTTTTTTATCATAACTAATACAGATGCTGAAACAAGCATTTCTTAATCTACTAACATAAAATGTCTTTTTTTCCCTTCCCTCCTCCATCGTCTATAGTATTTTTGTAGTAGGCTAGAGAGTAGTTAAAAACTAAGGATTAAATGCATTTTTCATTCAGGCATGAAAATAATGAGATTTTACTTTGTCACCATGACTCATATTCTCGCTCTGCAGTGACAGAGGTTCAGGAGCAGTGGCCGAAGGGCCAGTGGGCTGGCAGTAATGTCTGTCCGTACAAGTCATCAGCTCTTCCACAGAGAGCCGTGTGGTTGGCCTCTGTAACAGTGACAGTCTTGCAAACTCTGGGGGCAATTTACTCTGTCCTAGAGGGTCCTGAAAGTCGGATTTGATTTGAAAGCATCATGTTCAGTTTGATTTTTTTTTAACATAAAAAAATTTTTAATTACTAATTTATACCTTGAACTCTGGAAACAGGAGCGGCATCCACTTCCGAAATGGCTTGCCTCCGGAAACTATGTACGAACAGTGCTCAGGCCATTCGTTCATAGTCTCGACGGCATCAAACAACAACAACAACATACCTTGAACTACTAAGAGCAGTCCACTTGAATAATGTTTAAGACCTTCCAAAATATATTTTATTTAAAATATCTTGCTTAAAAAAATGAATTTATAAAATTCTCTTACCAGTAAGACCACTGTCAGAGAACTAAGTTTTCTGTGAGATCTACAGGTAGAAAGAAAAAAAATCTCCAAAATTTAATAAGGGTCACATTATGTGAAAATACTGTGAGGAATATGCAGTTCTCTGTATCTCTACAAAGGGAGTTTTGGTGGCCTGCTGGTAAGAAGTTGTGCTTCGAATCCACCATCTACTTTGCAGGAGAAGGGACAGTCCCCTCCTGAGTGATTTACTGTCTGAAACCTCCTGGACGGTCAATGATGGGTCAATTCTGACTCAGCTGCACATAACAACAGCAATAGTGTATTTGTTCAAAAGCATACTAAGTTGAGATTCAGAGTTTAAGGGTTGTATTATTTGACAGTTGTCATCAGAGAAACTATCTTAATTCTTTAGATTGTGAGACATGACCTGAAAGAACTTCGAGACTTGGATCTGGGCGGGGCCCCCTATGGGTATACGCCGTTCTGTGACAGCCGCACGGACATGGATGGGTACCGATTTTGGAAAACAGGGTACTGGGCATCACATCTTTCCAAAAGGAAGTACCACATCAGGTAAGAGCATTCCCATGCTTAACTTCCATCAGAAAGGCAGCTTCTTGCATCACAAGATTTGGTTTTCACTAGAACAGTGAATATTAGTGGATGGATGGGAGGATGGGAGGGACAGGGAGAATTTGGTGAGACGCTGAGATAAATGGCATTGATCCACTGTAATTAATGTTATAAAAGAAAATGTACAAGACTGAATGAAAACCAATTTTAAAAAAGATTTGGATTTTAGCAATAACAGCAACCAATTATGTAGTGCTTACTACATGCTAGGAACTGGTTTAAGTTTTTAACGTATAAAATCTGTACAACATCTTTTGGATCTGCTGTTGTTATATAATGTGCCCAGACTTAATGCTGCTAGTACATAGGTGAACCAGTTGTCAAACCGAGGTGTATACATTCCTCTAAAATATGCTCCTTGTTATATTGATTTAAACCTGGTTCCTCATATAACAACATGAAGAGAACTTTCAAAGTTGTGATTGTCTTACGGGGTCATAGGTTTCATGGGATCTTCTGTAAACCTTAAGAAGATGTGAATACTAACAGTGGTAGGCTAAATTTAAAATCTCGGGGAAATTATTTCTTCCACCCAAGGCAGCAGTCAGTATTTAAGCAGTTGTTATCACTCTACGAGCCACAGGGGCATAATAAAAAGACATCAACAGCGTGGGCTTTGTATTCATTTTGCAGCGCCTTATATGTAGTGGATCTCAAGAAGTTCAGGAAAATCGCAGCAGGTGACAGGCTCAGGGGCCGGTACCAAACCCTCAGTCAGGATCCAAACAGCCTTTCAAACCTAGATCAGGTTGGTACAATGCTAACAGTCATTCTCAATGCATATCCACAAACTGCTTCAAATCCCTGCGTAAAAATTTCAAACTCTTGTCTCTCAAGCCCCTTTCTTGAGCTTCTGCCTTAATGGAATTCTCTGTTAACATTATTATTTGAATTTAAAATCAACCATTTTTAACACTAATGCTTCATCTGTACTTTTTCTCAAGCCTCTTCCTCTCTCAGGTTCTGTCTTGGTTAGTCATTCCATCTCATCTCAGCTCTTCCCTCAGCATTTAAATTCACTCAAGTCTCTTTCCCTTTGACCTTTAAGATCCTTGTCCTGTCTTCATCTAGCTATAGCCTTCTGTTTTCTTCCTTCTAACAACCAAATAAACCTCTGTTTTTCTCATAGCTTATTCACTTCCTTATTATTACAACAGGGGCATTTTAGGCAGTGAATGTTAACCATCCCACAACTGTCAAAAGCCCTACCAAATCTGTCTTAGAGGAAATGCAGCCAGAGTTCCTTAGAGGCAAAGACGGTGAAACTTCATCAGTACAGTGGGTGCGTTGTCAGGAGGGGCAAGTCCTTGGAAAAGGAGATCATTTTGTAGAAGGTCAGCGAAAGAGAAGAAAACCCTCAACAAGTTACATCAACAGAGTGACTATCAGAGTGGACTCAATCATGTCAGATATTGTGAGGATGACGCAGGTTAAGACAGTCTAATGCTCAAAAGATTTCTGTGAGCTATAGTCTACTTAACCGAGTCTAAAGGCAACAGTCCTCACCTATAAACTATACCCTCCACCTTTCAGGCAGCATCCTCTCACCAAGCCTTCTTTGCAGATCCTGTTCCCACAGTGCTCTGGGCTCCTTGCTGCCCCCGCTGTGTCTTGACGTGCTCCACGCCTGTGTCCTGTGCACTCCACGAAACCAGGGGAGTTTCTCAGAGCCTCTGGGTAGTGTAGTGAGGCTTGGGGGGAGGTCCTCCAGTCTGGCAGGGAATAAAGAAATTACTCTTTGCAGAGAATATTTTAATCTGTGTAGAAAATTCTGCATAGTCAACCAAAACATTATGTTTACTGAGTAAAACAGCAAGATTGAAGTCACAGCAATAGGGAATTTCTACTGTGGACTTGCAACGTGTAGTTGAAGTTGAAAGTTGAAAGAGCACCTTGTAATAATGACCTTATCTTCCCAATTCTATCTTTAAAGAGTCTCTAGCTTAAAGTTGATGTCAGGGAGACGATGGATTTGCAATAAAATATCCTTCCTCTTTAAAAAAAAAAAAAAGCATTACTAGGTCCTCCAGAATTTAAAAAAAAAAAAAAATTAGTGTTCCAGTGAAGACCTGCAGTAGACTGAAATCAGCAAAACACTGCTGAGAGAAGTTAAAGATCACCTAAATATATGAGAGAGAGAGAGAGAGAGAGTGTGTGTGTGCGCGCGCGCTGAGCCGGAACACGCCTTACTGTAAAGCTGCACTTCTCTCCAAAGTCATCTCTAGATGAAATGCAGTCTCAATTTAAAGAAAAATCCCACTAACTAGTGCTTATAAAGCAATGCTGATTACAAAATTCATGTAGAAATTTACAAGTCCTAAAATAGGGAAAATCATTTTGAAAAAAAAACCAGAAAAGGGCTTATACTCTCTGATTTCAAGGCTGAATATAAAGCTGCCGTTAACCAAGACAGTGTGGTGCTGGTATAAAAAGATACCAGATAAATCCAGAAGCAATTGTACACATACAGCCAACTGAGAAGATGGTACACACGAGGAAAGCATTGCTCAACACACGCTCACAAATGTACTTAATAGTGAGATGATTATAAGGGGAGAACCTCCAGTATACATGAACGTGAGAGATTATATAAAACAGTGTGCTTGCATGAAACACACGGTGTATAGCGTATGCAAACCAGTGAAAATCCGTAATTTAAAAAAAAAAAAAAACTTCGACAAAAGGTAACAGCCACAATCAGATATTCATAGCCTTTAAAAAGAAAGAATGTTACGGCCAACCCATAACACGTACCATACATAAAAATCAATTTAAAAGAGATCCAAATATAAAAAAAGGAGTTCTGGTGGCTTAGTGGTAAGAAGTTGTGCTGCAGTCTTGAAGACACACATTCTTATCCACCAGCTGCTCTGCGAGACATAGATGGACCTCCTTCCTTCCGTGTGATTTACTGCCTCTGATAACCCACAGCCGAGGGTCAGGTGTGGGTTGTTTCAGACAAGATGCAGAAAAATTTCTAGAAGATAGGAGAACATCTTTGTAACCTTAAGCTATACAGAGATTCCTTAGATACACTATAAAAACATGGCTCATGAAAGAAAAATACAATGACAAAAAGCTCTGAAATTCAATAATTAAAAGAACAAAGAAAATGTTTGAAAACAAAATCAGACTTGAGCCACCAGTTCAGTAGATTAGTAGATTAGCACATGTCAGTATATGTTGTATGGTTTCTTGTTGTTAGGTACCATTGAGCTGAGTACGACCCGTAGCGATCCTGTGTACAAACAGATCTGAACCCTCTCCTATCCTGCACTGTTCTCAGTTACTGACACACGAGAGCCCATTGCGACAGTCACTGTGTCAGTCCACCTCAACCCTCTGCCTTTCAGAGCATCATGTCCTTCTCCAAGGAATAGCCTCACCTAGCAACGTGCTCGAAGTATGTGAGGCAAAGCTTTATCATCTTTGCCTGCGAAGAGCACTCTAGCTGCACTTTCTCCAGGACATAACTGTCTGTTCTTTCGGCAAACCCTGGGATGTTCAGCGCTAAAGGCATCAATGCTTCTTCTGTCATCCTTATTCATTGTCCAACTCTCAGGTACACAGCACATGAGCAGAAAGACCATGGCTTGAATCAGATGCACCTTAGTCCTCAAACTGACATCATGACTCCTCAGTAATTTGGAGAGGTCCCTAACTGCAGTCTTTCACAGTGTAATGTATCTGATTTCCTGACGATTGGTACCAGCGGTGTTGATTATGGTTCCAAGAAACTGTTCACAGTGTTGATCTTTTTTCCATCTATCATAATACTGCCTATCAATGTCTTCTCCATCCGTCATGATGTTGCCTATCGGTCCAGTGGTAAGAATCTTTGTTTTCTTGATTTTGAGATGCAATCCATACTGAAGACTGAATTCTTTGATCTTCTGCAACAAGTGCTTCAAGTCCTCCTCACTTTCAGCAAGCAAGATTTTGTCATCTGCAAAATGCAGCTTACTGATGAGTCTCCCTCCAATCCTGACACCACACTTCCCTTCATAGAGTCCAGCTTCTCAAATGATTTGCTCACCATACACATTGAATAGATATGGAAAGAGACTACAACCCTTACTCACTCCTTTCTTAATTTTAAACCATATAGTGTTCCCTTGCTCTGTTCACACAACAGCCTCTTGTTCTAGGTATAGGTTTCACGTGAGCATAATTAAGTGCTGTGGGGTTCCCATTTTTCTCAATGTTGGCCATAACTTGTTATGATCCACACAGTCAAATGCTTTTGCATAGTCAGCAAAGCACAAATTGACATTCTTCTGGTACTCTGTACTTTCAGCCAGGATCCATCTGACATCAGCAGTGATATCCCTAGTACCCTGGCCTCTTCTATCCCACTTGAACTTCTGACAGTTTTCTAACTATGTACTGTTCTAGCATTTTGAATTATCTTCAGCATTTTGCTTGCGTGTGCTATTAATGATATTGTTCAATAGCTGCCACATTCTGTTGGATCGATCACCTTTCTTGGGAATGGGAACAGATATGAACCCCTTCCCCTCCACTGGCCAGAGAGCTGTCCTCCACATCTCCTGGCATAGACTGGTGAGTGCATCCAGGGCTTCATCTGTTAATTGAGAAGTCGATTGGTATCCCATCAGTTCCTGGGGCCTTATAGTTTGCCAGGGCCTTCAATGCAGCCTCCCCTTCCTCCTTCATTCCCATTGGCTCCTGTTCATACGGTACCTCCTGAAATTTTTCTGTGCCAGTCAGTTCTTTTTGATACAGTGATGCTGCATATTCCTGCTACCTTCTTTTGAGGCTTTCTTGCTCATTCAGTATATTGTCGATAGTATATTTCAGTATTGTCACTTGAGGCTTAAATTTCTTTTTCTGTTCTCTCAGCTTGAGAAATGCAGAGCCAGTTTTCCCCTTTTTATTCTCCAATTCCAGCTGTCTGCACATTTTAGTATAATTCTTTGCTTTGTCTTCTTGAGCCACCCTTTGAAATCATCTGTTCAGCGCTTTTACTTCAGCATCTTTTCCCTTTGTTTTGGCTTCTCAAAGCCTTAGTGCAGTTTTCAGAGTCTCTTTTGACATCCATTTCAGTTTTTTTCTTTCTCCTCTGTCTTTGTAATGACCTTTTGCTTTCTTCACGGATGATATCCTTGATGCTATTCCACAACTCATCTGGTCTTTGATCATTAGTATTCGGTGCTTCAAACCTATTCTTAAGATGATTTTGAAATTCAGGTGAAATAGACTCAACATCATATTTTGGTTCTCATGGACCTGTTTACATTTACTTCGACCTCAGTTTGAACTTGAACATGAGTAAGTGATGTTCTTGCGCACAGTCTCGTTCTAGCCACTCCTCTGGACTGGCTTTGACTGCTGACACTGAGCTTCTCCAATGATTCCTTTCACAGAGGTAGTTTGGGATCTTTTAGTAGAGCCCCCAGATTAGGAAGCAGGATTGACCATCCCCTTTGAAAAAGAACAGACCTCTGAAAACCCTATGAACAGTAGAGGAAGGCAGATAGTTGTAGTGCTTTACCCCCAATTGGAAGACAGCTGGAATGAGGAAAAATAATGGCAAACATCCTTTAAATTGGAACATGAATGTTGGAAAACTAGAAATTGTAAAAAATGAAATGGAACACATGACCATCAACATACTGGGCATTAGTAAGATGAGATGGACTATATTTGGCCACTTTGAATCAGATAATCGTATAGTATACTCTGCTGGAAATGAAGAAGAAAGGTGTTGCATCTGTAGGCAAAACGTCAGTTTCAAGTTCTATCCTGAAACACAATGTTGTGAGTGATAGGATAGTATCTATAGGCATACAAAGAAGACCTATTAATAACTATTACTGAAATATACACTCCACATCTAGAGCCAAAGAGGAAGAAATTGAAAATTTTTACCAAATCTTGAAGTCCAAAATTGACCGAACATGCAATCAAGATGCATTAATGTTAATTGGTGACTGGAATGCAAAAGTTGAAAACCGTGAAGAAGGAACAGTAGTTGGAAAATACAGGCTTGGTGATGGAAATTAGGCTGGAAGTAGATAGAATTTTATCTTTTAAATAATGTATTCATTACAAATGTTGTTGTTATGTGCCATCGAGTCGCTTGCGACTCATAGTGACCCTGTGTACAACAGCCCTAAACCCTGCTCTATCCTGTGCCAGTCTCACTGCCTCTGACACACCCATCCCGATTACCCCAGTCACTGAATCAATCCACCTCATAGAGGGTCTTCCCATCCTGCGCCGTCCCTCCACCCTCCCAAGCATGATGTCCCTCTCCAAAGACCTCTCCCTCCTTACAACATGTCCAAAGTATGTCAGACGAAGCCCCAGAATCCTTGCCTCCAAGGAGTAGCCTGGTTTAACCCTCTCCAGGATGAATCTGTTTGTTTTCTTGGCAGTCCAGGGTGCATTCAATACTCTTCTCCTGCACCACAGCTCAAAGGCATCAATTCTCCTTCTATCCTCCTTAGTCAGTGTCCAACTCTCTGATGCATAACAAGTGATTGCAAAGACCATGGCCTGTGTCAGATGCACCTTAGTCTCCAGAGTGACACCATTGCTCTTCAGTACCCTGGAGAGGTCCTTAACAGCAGACTTTCCCCAATCTCTTCACCATCCATCCTGATGCTGCCAATTGGTCCAGTGGTGAGAATCTTTGTCTTCTTGACATTGAGCTTCAATCCATACTGAAGGCTGCAGTCCTTGACCCTCTGCAGCAAGCATTTCAGGTCCTCCTCAGTTTCAGCAAGCAGGGTTGTGTCATCTGCAGATACAAAGAGCCGTTTTACACATGGATCTCACCAGACGGGCACAAGGAATCAGGTTGAAGATTGATGGTATGCCTTTAGTACCATCAAGTCAACTCTGAATCCTAGTGACCTCGTGAACAACAGATCAGAATCCCCTCTGTCTCTGCACCTTGTTGCAGTCGGTGTATCACCCCTCAAGTCTGCCCCCTGCCACCCCACCCCCTGCCACCTTTCCCACAGTGATGTCTTTTGCTGACAGCATGGCCAGTGTATGTGAGATGAAGTTTCATCATCCCGGCCTCCAAGGAGCATCCTGGGTCCCCTCCCTCCAGTATTTGTTCTCTTGACAGTCCATTGAATAGTCAATAAAGTCTCCTTGCCACCAGGGAGCTCTGGTGGCCTATTGGTAAGAAGCTGTGCTGCAATTCCAAAGGCAGGCAGTTTGAATCCACCAGCTGCTCAGGAGAAGAATGGGCATTCTCCTCCTGTGTGAGTAACGGCCTCTAGAAGTCCGCGGGAGGGTCATTTCTGACTTGACAGCACGCAGTAACAGTCCATTGTTCTCAGGCTGAGACTGACTTACAGCCGACTCGCCTTTGAGTTGCCTAGGCCATAAATCCCATTGGGAGAAGATTGCCGGTCTTTCTTCCATGGAGCCATTGGGAGAAGATTGCTGGTCTTTCTTCCATGGAGCCTCTGGTGGATTCGAACCACCAGGGGGGCTTGGTCTTTGGTTTAGCAGCACAGCTACCTACAGATGACACCACTAGACCTCCCTAGTCCGTGGCTCTCTACCACCTCTGCTCTTGTTGGTCCTAGTGGACATACAGTGCCTTCCGCTACTTTTTTCTTTTTTAATTGAGATGTTATTGTAAGTTTGTAGAGAACTTGGATTTCCATTCATTCATTATTGCACATTTTCCTCCCCACCCCCACCAAGTTCACCATTTCCTTTAGAAAAAAAAAATTCTTTCATTGTTACACAGCCACCGTCCTCCCCACACCACCACTTTACTATGCAGCTCTTATTCTGGACTCTTGTCATGCCAGTAACACCTAATCATATATTCCTTTTATACAGTTCTCACCCTCATCTGTTTCAATGCCATGTACATTATCCCCTCTCAGTTACCCGCAATCCCCCATGTCAGTCCTGTTTTACAACAGTAGCACTATGCAGTATTTGTCCTTTTGTAACTGAGATGTTTCATTCAGCATAATGTATGAGTTCTTTGTTTTTTAGTGCTGCATAATTTTCCATTGTGTGACTACACCAGAGCTTCTCTATCCATTTGTTTGTTGATGAACATTTGGGTTGTTTCCAACTCTTTGCTATTGTGAACAAAGCAGCAATACACATGGGTGTACATGTATCTGCTTGGGTGACAGTTCTGGTTTCTTTAGGGTATATTCCCAGTAGTGGAATTGCTGGGTCAAATGGTATTTCTATCTCCAACTTTTTGAGAAAGTCCCATACTGCCTTCCATCTCTATATGCAGATGACATGATAGTATACTTAGAAAACCCTAAAGACTCAGCAAGAAAACTACTGGACATAGTTGACCAGTTCAGCAGAGTGGCAGGATACAAAATCAACGTGCAAAAATCAATTGGATTTCTCTACAGTGACAAAGAGAATATAGAACTGGAGCTAAGAGAAACAATACCCATAACAATAGCTAATCACAAGATTAAATACTTGGGAGTAAATCTAACCAGAAGCACAAAGAATCTATTCAAAGAAAATTACAAAACATTACTGCAAGAAACAAAAAGAGACCTGGAGAAATGGAAGAATATCCCTTGTTCATGAATGGGAAGGCTCTATATTGTGAAAATGACAATCCTACCAAAGGCAATCTACACATTCAGTGCAATCCCAATACAAATAACCAATACTATTCTTCAACGAGATGGAAAAGGCGATCTCCAGTTTCATTTGTAATGAAAAGAGGACCCACATAAGCAAAGTACTCCTTAAAAAGAGAAACAAGATAGGAGGCATCTCACTCCCTGATTTCAAATCCTACTGCACTACCATGGTAGTCAAGACAGCGTGGTACTAGTACTTTTTTCTTAATGGTAGTGTGATTCCCTTTTTCTGTCTCTGAACCTGCTTGGGTTAAGCCTGGCAGGATTGCAAAACTATCTCATCCACTTCTCTTAGAGTGAGGAAACTTAGGGGCAGCCGGTCAGTGGAGTACTGGTCAGAACAGATGATTGGAGGGCCCTGGGGGGAGGTAAAAGAGGTTGCCATGTGAGCGCGTGATGAAGTGAGTGAAAATAGAGGAGGTGGCCAGACAATGTGGAACATGACATGAGAGTTATCTGAGGTGTGACCATGGGAATTGGTGGCTGGTAAAAGGCAAGATCATTTAAAGAAGAAATTAAACGTGTTAAAAAAGAACAGTTAAGCTCAATTTTAAACCGAGGTTGGTGTAGAGTAAAAGTTGGTTGTTAAAATTATTAAGAAATGAGAAGGTTCAGTCCAGCAACAATAAGAGACAGTGGAAAAAGTGGGTCTGATGCCGGGATTCAAAGCTGGGGATTTTTAATAACAGATAGAAAGGAGGCTGATAGGAATGAGATAGGAAGCAGCTGCTAAGATAGCGGCTCACCTTAGTGTTTCCACCTGTGAGACTTGAAGATCAGTTAGACCAAGCTGACAGAGCCCCTGGGGCTGCAATGAATGTGTTGTAAGCTGCTCACCACCCGGTGACTTCTCATCGACCTGGTGAACTACTTCCATGAAGATACAGCCAAGAAAACAGGAGCAGGTCCACTTAACGACAAGGTCACTAGGCACTGGGGCAGCCTCCTGGCAGCTCACAACAGCAGCAAGCTCCTAACAGGTACTGAGTCCAGAGAGCACAAGGGATTCAGGAGGTGAGGAGGAGAATGAAGCTAAAGGGAATATTAGGATTGTCGGTGTTTAATCTGAGACCTTAGAGGACTGAGATGCATGGTTTTCATTTGTCGCTTCTGGGTTTTGGATTTGTTGGAATGTTTGGGGTTTTGGGGGCGGGGGTTAATATCTCTAGCAGCAATACTAGATCTCTGAATTGGAGACAAATTTTACTCAAAGAACACCTGTGCTGGTTCCCTAGACTACAGCTCACTGGTGAGATGACACATTACGGCGAGTATCATTTGTATTTTAGAAGGAATTTGTGCCACAAGAGAAACCTTCAAATTATTCATTGCACACTTGGTATAGCACAGTGAACGAAGGTACCCTTAGTAACAGATAGATGAACTGGGGAGTCTTAGAGTAACCTTTACTCTGGAATGTAAACAAGCTCTCCAGAGAGCAGAGGAAGATCTCCACAGCCCTGGAAGAGAAATGAACATCTCTAGAGAAGATGTTTCCAGACCTCTCCCCTGTTCTCTATTTTTAACTCCTGGGCTTGTTTGTTATTCTGAGGTCTTTTAACCCAGATCCCAGCAATCTTTGTCTACAGGGCTCTGTGTAGGCAGAAAGGTGGAAACATCCACAGACCTTTGTGTCCTGACAGGGAGATGATAGGGGAAGTCAGAACGGAGCGTGGGGAGTGATGACAAAAACAGCAGTGTCAGACTCGGTGGGAGTGTTAATCCTGGTGGTCCAGGCCGCACGTCATTTTTAGGAAAATGGGTCTTTGAATTTCTCTCCATCTTCAGTGCCAGGACTTGAAAATTAGGAGGATTGTGGGCCTTGACACAATTAAATCTCAGATCTGCATGTTTTTTTTTTAATGATCTGCTTATAATCTTTATGATACTCTCCTTTGACTTCTTTTGCTAGGACTTTAATTTCTGTACCTGTAAGTTTAAATCCCTTTTTCTATAGGATCTCCCCAATAATATGATTTACCAAGTTGCCATTAAGTCTCTTCCTCAAGACTGGCTATGGTGTGAAACCTGGTGTGATGATGAATCCAAACAGAGAGCCAAAACAATTGATCTGGTGAGTGCTTGTATTTTAATTTACCTATAAGAAGAGACAGACATGTTCCTATAGAAATATTTTCTGTTTTACAGATATACTGTCCTACTTGTCCTGATGCTCAGTCTGTTATGTTAGTTATGTGCCATTAAGTTGACTAATAGCGACCTTATCAACAACAGATCTGAACCTTGTCCTAACATGCTCCATCCTCATGATAACACATAAGCTTACGCCCATATGTACTTGTTGTTGTTGTTATGTGCCCTCCGGCCGTTTGCGACTCATAGCGAACCTAGACCCTATGTACAACAGCCCTAAACCCTGCTCTATTCTGTGCCGATCTCATTGCCTCTGACACACCCATCCCGACTACCCCAGTCACTGAATCAGTCCACCTCATGGAGGGTCTTCCCCTCCTGCGCTGTCCCTCCACTCTACCCAGCATGATGTCCCTCTCTAAAGACCTGTCTCTCCTTACAACATGTATGTCAGACGAAGCCCCAGAATCCTTGCCTCCAAGGAGCAGCCTGGTTTAACCCTCTCCAGGATGAATCTGTTTGTTTTCTTGGCAGTCCATGGAACATTCAATACTCTTCTCCAGCACCACAGCTCAAAGGCGTCAATTCTCCTTCTATCCTCCCTAGTCATTGTCCAGCTCTTATGTATTTAGGTTGGCAAATAATGTGCCATGCCAGGGGCTCCCCCAGACCCCCGAGACTGATGATTCAGTAGGATGAGTCACTAGGAGGGTCCCAAATATTGGCATGCTCAGGGATGATGTGTTAACAGATTGTGCACAGCAGAGTTAACAGACAGGCACAGAATTTGAAGTCCAGAAACCAGATGCAAAGTCCTGAGAGTCCTGTCTCTGTGGAGTGAGACAGAATCTGTTTAAACTCTTTAACCAACAAGCACACGTGAACTGTGATCTGTTAAGAAAGCTCACTAGAGAACCTGTGCCCAGAGTTTTTATTGAAGATTGATTCAGGTATGGAATTCTTCCCAACTCTCAGAAGAAAAAGAAATATCAATATAAACCATATTATTTTATTAAATATGTTATCAACAGTGAGCCTTTCTTATCAGGTAATGGTAGAAACTATACCAAAATCTAAGTTCCTTGGTACAAGCCAAGGGCTAACTTTGACATCTAAGGATGGCAATGTTCAGCTTTCTCTTTTCCTTTTCTGTGTAAAGGGGTTGGGGCGGGTATTTTGGGGGGGCGGTTGTTTTTTTCTTTGGGGGTTTTGTTGTTGTTGTTGTTGTTGTTGGGTTTTTTGCTTTGTTATCATTATAATTATCAGAATGGAATTCAAGATCTTTTCATTCTTCTCCACCACTTTTTGAATATGTACCCTAAAGAAAAGCTAAGTTTGGTCCAGAAGGTCCAGACTGCATTTCCTTTGTTAAATGAAGAATGGATGGGTAGGTCTCAACACTGTCTCTCTAGTGATAGTTTTATGGAGTAAGTTCTATTCTTGTCTTCGTTTTAGAGATAAGAAAACTAAGTCTTGTAGAGGTTGAGTCATTTTCCCCATATTGTCTGCAGGTGGGATTTCTATCCAAGGTTATCAACTAATTGAGAATATTCATTCATTATCTCATTTTAATGTATCATTACTTTAGTTCTCTTGGTAACCAAGGTAATTCTGAATCTTTTTAAATTATGAGATAGATAGATAGATAGATAGATAGATAGATAGATAGATAGATAGATAGATAGATAGCTTTTCCATTTAAGCAACTTTACTATTGTGGAGCTAGAACTTTCAAAGTGGCTTTTCTATCCATTGTATTGGATCTTGCTAGGGGCATGGTCTCCAGTTACCTCAACTGTGGACACTGATCTTGCAAAACAACAGCTGTGGGACCAATATAAGAGAGAGCATGCTCCACACTGTGGTGAGACTGAAGGGAGTATGAAGAGGATCACAAGATACAGCCTGACAGAACCCTGAAGACAGAGCCAAAGTTGAAGGTTTTGCTTCTAGATGACTAAGTGAAGAAACTTGTGGCTTATCTGAGACAAAGCTTGCTGGACAGTTGAGGAAACCAGAGCTTTATTTGCACTGCTGCACTGAACCTAAACGTCCACTTGTTGACTGAGAAGCTGTAATTAAGGAGTTGTGTCTTGATGTTTGTCTGTCTTGGGGCTGCTGTCCCCTAAACCTAGACTTTCGTTATATAATGTCATTTGTCTCCCTTACTCCCTAACCTATTTCCCTAAGAAGTCCCACAACTGTAAATAAAGTCTGTAAGTAAGTTTTCAGTGACCATTGGACCCAATGATTCATAGAAATAAGAGCAGGAGCATGGTGTGTAGTATGTCTGATGATGTAACTATTTGGTATTACGGATGTTATTGATGGGGACAGTTCCCCTTTTTGAAGCAGGTAGAAGTTAGACTTTGGCCTTCCCCGTGTTACCACTGCTCCTTTTATGGCTGTAAAAACCTATAAAAAGAGTTCTGTCTGAAATCTCAATTTGTTCATATACCATTTTCCTTATTTTCTTTAGTTCTTTGTTTTCTTTCAGTTTTTCTAGTCTGTTTAATAGAGATTTCCAGTCTGGTGGAGAGTTTTTCGGGCTGTTTTATCGTTGACACTTCGCTATACATGCATATCTTGGAGGGAATTAATTTTTAGTTTGAGGCCCCGCAATAAAATATGCATTGCTCTGTTGTTTGTTTCCAGAGCATATAAAAATGATGTTTACATTATATTGTCATCTTTTAATTGTGTAATAGCATTATGAAAAAAGTTTGAAATATCTTAAAAATCACCAAAATGTGACAAAAGACATGAGAAACTTTTTTTATAAAAAAAAAAAAAATCATGCCAGGGTCCTGGTTGGCACAGAGTTGCCACAAACCTTCAGTTTGTTTAAAAAAATGCAACTTCTACAGAGCAAACTAAAGTGCTGTAAACGAGGGATGCTTGTATCCTATTTCCCATTGCTGGACAGTTGTTTTCTCGTGCTCTCTGAGAGAGAGAGAAAGTTCTCTCCATCTTCAAGGTGGCACAGGCTTCAGTCTTCAGTAATCTGAGGACTGAGTTTCCGTGTAGGCCAGGTGCTCTGTATTGTAGCAGCTCCCAGACTGGTTGGAAAGTCCATACTGAATAAATTGCCCTCCGTCAGCCGATACTGTCAAATGCAGGTCATTGCTCCTTCTCCTGCTTTGGGAGAGCTCATTTATGTGAAAATCATAAATCAGGGCCTTTCCCTTTGCTCCGGTGAGCTGTGGGTCTGCTTAGACTGCAACACCAAGAAGGAAAGAAGCTGAGACAGAGGAAGAGACCCATTTCTTACCGTAAGAGTCGTCGTTGACGCCTACCTGCCTCTCCTTCTCTCTTGACCATCAGTTGAGAGGCCTCAGAGATGCATGGGGTTTCTCTCTCCTTGTGTTTGTTGGAATGTGTGAGGAAGGAGACCAGGGACTTAGAGATCTGTTCATACTATCATCTTCCCAGATTCCTTTAATGTTTTTAAAGGTTAAAGATTGATGAATCACTCTGAATTTGAAAATTAGCAGTATGTTAAGTTCCAGTGAACAGATTGTTAATATTGCCATAATTGCTAATTAAAGCAGAGGACTATAAAAGGTGTAACTGATACGATTTCTGAGGACTGATAGAGAATGTAAAGTTTTGTTTGTGGAAAAAATATAAAGTATATAAAGCAAATGTTTAGACCAAACAAAAGGGAAAAAAATCCCTAAATATGCTCGGTTATTTTACAGAATCTTTTGTCAAAACATTTTTTAGAATTGTTTGCACATTTCTTGTGAACTGTCACAGTATCTTTCAACAATCTGTTTAAACAGATTGAGGGACTTTTGTTAAGTGATTATTGCTTACATCAACTGTGATTTGTCATTTTATTAGATCCAGTCACTTAACCTAATTTCAGGTACTTAGGAAAACTCTTGCTTTTTATAAAATGTGTTTGTTAACTGTAGTCACAGAGAGCTTTTAGCACATATTTCCTAGAACATGTCTTTTTATTAACGAAACTTTATTTGAACTTGTAGTGCAATAACCCCAAAACAAAGGAGCCAAAACTAAAAGCAGCTACCAGGATTATCCCCGAATGGGTGGAGTACGACCGTGAGATACAACAGCTGTTAGAAGACATTAAAAACGAGAAGAAGAATGCATGTAAGTAATCTTCCGTCAGTGGGGCACGAGCCACTTGTCATACTAGCTGAGATTAAAACAGATTAGATAGACCCACTTCTTAATCATCCAGTTATTAGATCAGAAGTTAAGAAAATCTCTGACATGATTTAGAATTTTTGTGTGGACGTGGATAGATAATACACTCCTCCAGGAATTGTCGTTTCAGATTAAACCACTACATATATTGGGCAACTCATGACACAGAACTCACCCTCCAGCCAGTTTTCAGAAGATGTAAATCACGAGGGAGGAGAGAGTGTCCATCTTTCTCTCAAGGAGCAGCTAGTGGATTTGAACCATCTGCCTTTGAGTTTGGCAGTGGAACACTTTTCCCACCCTCTAGGTCATCAGAGTACCCTGCACAGATGTATAGGAAAGCATCACCATGATTCACAGTAGAAATAAATATAATATTTGTCTTTGATATTACATTGAATTTATAGCTTATGAAGATTAAAGCAGTATCCTAAGATTCCAGGAAGCCTTGTTTACATAACTAACTGAAAGTGTTACTTCCTATCGTGTTCCTGCTTCTAGTAGCCATCATGCTGAGCAGGGGAGTGATACGAAGACAGTATTTTTCATTAGATTTGCTTCTATATTTAGATTTAAAATACTGCATTTACCACAGCATTTCACCATCCTCATAAAACTTCATGTATACGTATTAGATTTTTTAGAAAGAGATATAAAGCCCTTGTTTGTCTCCTAATTCCCTTGCTTGATCATTGCTACCTATCTGTACTTTACACTTTTAAAAATGGCACAGAGCTACTATTATATTCCAGTAGGTATGATAGAAACTTAAGAGGTTATATTCATTATCAAAATAATGTTGTCCAAGAGGTCAGACTATGATTCTCATTCCCTTTAGCTTTCTTTTTTTAAGAGGAGCTAAAACAATTGTACATAAATTTTCTCATATACCTATGAAATTATGTTTTATCTTGTCTTTTTTTCCATAAAGAAACCAATGTGTTATACAGACACTAGTGAGTTATTGTCTGAGAAGTTATTTAACTAGACCAGTGGGACAAAACAGAGTATAAAGCATGTCCATATATATGTAATTTAGGATACATAATAATATTTCCACTTCAGAAGAAGAAAAATTACTCCAAAAATGTTATTTTAAAAAAGAGAGAGGTGGAAAGACACAAAGAGGAAAGCAAAAAGGGATTAAAGAAATATGTATCTAGAATTACCTCACACACACACACACACACACACAATCATTCATTACTGTCAAATGAGAAACCATTTATACCTGATCCTTCAGCATTTTTTCAGAGGCTGTAAATCACACAGGAGGAGATTGCTCATCTTTCTCCCAAAGAGCACCTGGTGGATTCGAACTATGTGTGTTTTGAGTTTTCAGGGCAGCTCACTCCCACAAAGCCACCAGAGCTCCCACCCACCACAAGTGTAAATGCACAAAACATTGAAATAAAAATCTATCTCTTTAAAAAAAATGTACCTCTTAGGAAAGTGTTCAAAGAGTACCCAGTGGTAGTGAGGGTGTAGATTAAGTGAGCAGTTACCATATGTCCATATATGTAGTGACCATATAAATTAGGAGTTTTATATATGTCTAAAAACTTGTTTTAATCATATTTGGGACGAAAAGAAAAAGTAGCATCCACTTCCACAATAGCTTGTCTCCGGAAACCCTATGAACCTGGAGAAAGGATGAAAGTTATACAAGCGTTCAGGTCTTTCCTTCATAGGGTTGCTATGAGTCGCCTATGACTCGACAGCACTTAACACAGCATAGAGAGAGCTCAGTTGGCCTAGTGGGCAGAAAGTGATGCTACCAAGCCAAAGGTGGGTGACTTTAATCCATAGACCTCAGGCCTGTTTTTAATTGTTTTTGGTCAAACATTCTTCTAGGTCAGATAGCTTTGATCTGTCCACTTGCTGGACAGAGGTAACTCGTGATTGCTGTGAGGCTGAACACTGTGACGCTGATGTGTCAAATACAATAATGGTTACCCATGGTGGACAGTGTTTGGTGGAGCTCCCAGATTAAAACAAGCTTGGAAGCAGGAGTGGTATCCACTTCCAAAATAGCTTGCTTCCGGAAACCCTATGAACTGGAGAAAGGATGAAAGTTATACAAGTGTTCAAGTCTTTGGTTTATAGGGTCGCTATGAGCTATCTACGACTCGACAGCACTTAGCAACAACAACAAAAACTTGTATATGTGCTGTTTGATACAATTCCCTTCAAGAAACTTCTTTAAAAAGGAAAATGGTGTGTGTTTACATATATACTCTTACAACAGCACTTTTAAAATCATGAAATAAAAATTATTTATCAATCAATAGGAAATTATTACATAAACATGGATATGTTAAAACCAATACAGCATAGCATTCCAAGAAAATTAAAGTCGTTCTCTAGGTGTTCAGTAGACTATTTTAAAGTAAAAAGTAGGTTCTAGAATGATATTTATATTATTGACCCCATTTTAAATAAAAAACATTATGTGTCATTGTGTATATGCTTGCATATAGTTTTGCATATGAAAAAAGTATTACAAAAAAAAGTATTACAGAGTAATTAGAACTCTTTTCACTTAAATTTTGTAAATGTAACATGTTCACGTAACTATTAATACAATATAAAGTAGAATAAAATAATAAAATTGGATATCTCTACACGGTCAAATCATGAAAGAGAAATCTTTTCATAATCTTTGTATTTTCTTATTATGCAATTAATAATAGTGGGTAGGATTCAGAATCTTGCTTATGTTTAATGGCCATTTTCTTTTTCTTTTTTTCCAACTTTTTATGCTCAAATTTTGCTCGTTTCGTTTGTAGGAGTGTTACATTTTCCCCCATTCACACTGCGATTTAAGTTGCAGTTATTTTCTCCCAATTTTGCTTTTAAACATTATCTTTTAAATGTTATGTTATAGTTAAAAGACTTTTATTACTTCATGTAAAAAGAGCAAAGGCCACACGGGGCTCACCATATCTGACCTTTACCACCTTTACAAAAACAAACTGTCCCCATCACCAGCATCAACAACTCAAAACCAATTCTCTTAAGAGCAGACATGTCCTTCATGCTCCCACGCCTCTTCCTACTCATCTCGACACTAATCTTACTGCTTTACTGGGTCCTGATGTCATAGCTCACTGACCACCCAGAATCATGTTGGGGAAGTCAGAAGGTAGCAATCCAGGTTAGACGCAGAATACAGTTAGGACAGCTTCTGAAATGTGCTCACAGGCACCTCAGCCTTTCACCTTGCGGGCTTAGCCCAGATTTACAGTTTTTACTTCTGCCAGTATTGGCTCTCAGAACCCCACCCCCTAAGTAAACTGTCAGAAAACTTGGCAAAGGCCCTTAGCTTAGCTCTATATTGGGGGAGCAGCAGTCCCAAGCCTCGCTGTGTCTCCCATCAGGTCTCTGGTTCTCTCCTGTGGCTTTGATCACTGTTGCTCTGGTCCTAAAGGAGGCATTGCATTCTCCTGCTTGCTCATCTTTGCTGGTGGTGAGGTTTCTTCAAATTCTGCTTGATCTGCTCAAGTTAATGACGAGGCTAGCCAATCCCCTTGTGGGACTGCCCCTAAGGTTCCTATCTAATCTTGAAAGTTGCTGTTGCCAGTTTGAATCCTATATTGATAATTCTTGAAAGAGCACATGTTTAACCAGAATTTTACTGGTTAAGCTCAACTATCGTTTCAGAGGTTTTTATTTATAGTTTTTAAATTTTTTTTTTCTCAAATCCACCAGATGCTCTGCTGGAGAAGGAGGGACATCTCCTCCTGTACCTGTCAGATCCAATTTGACAGTACACACACACACAAATAATAAGAATAAAATAAATAAAATAATTTTTTCTTTCATATTGATTTGCATACAAAGTTTGTATACATTGTGTGTCACACTATCGTTCATTCACATTGTGTTTCATACATTCTCATTAATCGTGTTTTAGAAAATTAATCACTTTTGAACTGTGCCCATCATTACCCCATTATCCTTTCAGCTCTCCACCAGATCTTTCTCCTTTCTTTTACCCGTCCACTACCCACTCGGTGTCACCCCTCTGTTGCTACTCCTTCCATCCTTGGGTCCCTTATACACATTTTACTAGTTTTCCTTCTGTTTTTACAATAATGGTTTTATGCAGTATTTATCCTTATGAGACTGAGTTTGTTCACTCAGCTTAAAGCTCTCAAGGAACCAACCCCGAGAAGGTTGTACATAAAGTGACCTGAGCAGCTGCTCTTCTGTTTTGTTGCTTATCTTTTCTTGTATTACTGGAAACACCTCACGATTTTTGCCAATGAAGCTTTTTGAGTTGTACAGCTTTCTGACAGCAATTACAGTAATCACTTGTGCAGCACTCCCAACCATCATTGTTCTTGTTGTTATGTACCGTCGAGTCGCTTGCGACTCATAGCGACCCTATGTACAGCAGCCCTAAACCCTGCTTTATCCTGCGCCAATCGCACTGCCTCTGACACACCCATCCCGATTACCCCAGTCACCGAATCAGTCTATCTCATAGAGGGTCTTCCCCTCCTGCGCTGTCCCTCCACCCTCCCAAGCATCATTACTACTAATAAAACTTTGGTCAGTATATTTAGAATTAATTAATTAGCATGTGATAGGTCAGTACCGTAGAATAAGGAGCCATTTGGTCCATAATGATTCTCACACATATATGGAAGGCTTGGTGCCTGTGTTTGAATGCTCTCCTTTATATTAGATTTGGCGTTGTTGGGTGCCATCAAGTTCTCTGCGACTCTGAGCTCCGTTGTGTACCATCCACATGACCCCACCAGGCTCAAGCCCTTTGGTGTACTTGTTTGTGTAAATCCTTCTCTTTGAGAGTCTTTCCTGTCTTGCACTGACCCTCGACTGTTCCTAGAATGTCTTTTTTTTTTTTCATCTTAGTATAGGGCCTTCTATTGATTTTTCTGTTACAATGATGATGGAATCGTTTATTATGTATTACACACAGAATCCAGGATTCCCATGTGCAAGGCAGGGTGCTAGGTCCCAGAGATACAAAGAGAGCCCAGGGCCCATCTTTGTCCACATCCTTCTGGAAGATCATCACCCAGGTGGGCTGAAATACACGTGGTGATGATGAAGATAGAATCAGGCAGATACTAAAATGTGCAAAGAGTTGCTTTCATAACTGCTTAAAGAAAGAAGCTAAACTAGCCAGGAAAAGCATCCTCAGCATCTGTGCTTTCTGTATTATATCCTGCAATGTAGTTAGGCTCATTTTGTGTTTAAAATGTCACAATCTGAAACCTCTCCTTCCTGCAGTCTTGATCCACGATGAACTCTGACGGGTTTGCACAAGGAAGATGAGCAAGGAGTCTGCCACCTGCTGGGAACGTGTGCAACTACTGCTTAGACTGCGGGAAAGTTCTCAAGATCAGTGATCAATACATATAAACAAAGCCGTGGTTATTTAAAATAAAG